ATCAACTCGTCCAAGCCATCCACAACCTTGGAAAACAAATAAAGTGGTAGTGAGCATCGGTGTGCCGTGATGGTTCACTTACCAGAAACGAAACATCCAAGAGGTTTAGTGCCTTTCTCGATACCAATTGACAAAGTCTCTCTGGTGTAGCTACAAGAACTTGACACGCAGAGGACTCCAGCCTGCAATAACAAGCGATCAATGAAGCTTTCACTTGATTGAAACAAGAGCCTACCCTTTCACTTGGTGCTCTAGGCTCGCACCCGGGTGGATGCTTATGGTCTGAAGCCCCAGAAGCTTTTTCAAAGGCTTGCACAAGTTCCTTACCTGTACAAAACAAACGCTCTCAAGTCAGATTCAGATGAACAAACACCGTAGCAAAAGGATCAAAGTCTGTTACATATAGCGCTTCCTCTTGAGACGGCACGAGAAAAAGCGCGATAGGCTTTCCAGAGAGCCTTGTCTTGGAGGGTTGCTTGACAATGTAGTCCACCACTGCAGGAACGTAAGCGATGGCTGCAATGGTCGACTCCTGGACGGTTCCAATGACGTCCAGACCTCCTCGGCAAGCCTCCCAGAGGCTAGTCTCAAAGCGAGACAATTGCCTATCAACGCTAGCAATCACTCCGGACAGTATACGAGCACCATTTGACGAACCTGCTATCCGGGACAGGAGCCGTCTGTCGTAAGCTCTCGTATCGTCTTCCCCACCAGAGCTATCTTCTTCTTCTTCGGAGCTATCATCTTCTTCCGAGGAAGCAGATTCTCTGGCCTCGGAGATTTCGTCGTCCTCGGAACTATCAGCTTCGTCGGTTAAAACTTGACTGCCATCTTGACCTTCGTCAAGGTCACTGCCTTCTTCAGCCAAACCCTCCATCGTTTCATCGTCATATCGTCTCTTCTTGCGTTTTCCTAGAGACCGGTTATTGAATGGATCCTCGGGAGTTGGGAGGCTGTAGCACATTCCCTGTATGAAAAATAAAAATAAAAAAGAGATTCGAAGATCGAAAAGATAAAGATCCACAACCACGGTTCTTGAAAGTCGAAGAACTAAAACCAATGTAGGAAGAACGAGAAAACAATGCACGAAACTATTACAAAAACAGATCTATTCGCAAAAGCAAAAGCCTAGAACGCTTACCAAAAACCAAGCAAAAGAAGAAACAAAACCTCGAAGCGAATCAGACAATCCACCACAGAATGCTGGCATTTCCAGAAAAGAATCGATCTAATCGATCTGTCACTCACCTCGCAAACTCGCCGCTTCCCAGCTTTCCTCCTGCGCTTGGCGGCAATCACGGCAGTGTGGAATCCAGCGCCGCCGGCGCTTCGCAAGCGCTTCCTGGCGGCCTTGTTCCTCCGCTTTGCCGCCGCTTCCTCCGCCTTCCCCATCAAAACCCTAGCTACACCATAAACCTCTCCAAGGAGAGAGCTTTCCTTCCAATTGTTTTTAAATTGGAGAGAGAGTACAAATGTTACATACAAACAACCAAAACAAAACAAACGAAGAACACGAAACTTTGGAGGCCATCGCTTGCGAGGAGAGAGCGCTCATATTCTGGAGACCGATTGCGTGATTCTTCTTGTGAGTGTGTTCCTGGATTAAAACCCGCTCGGGTGGTGGTGGTGGTGGTGGTGGTGGTGTTCGGGCTGTGGTTGATTTTGTTGTTGAGTTGGAGTTGGAGTTGGAGTTGGAGTTTGCTGCTGCTGCTGCTGTTGTTGTTGGTGTTGGTGGTTTACCATGTAAGCGTTGTACATTTCCCTGTTCATGACCTGGATAGACAGAAGAACACGAAAGAGTCAGGAAAAAAAGAGAATTTTGCGTGAGAAAACTCCATAGGTCGGACACAAACCAAGCACAACACCAGGAAAGCTCAAAACGATAGAATAGATACCGAAACAAGGAGAACTTTTGGCGATCTTTTCCAGAGCACTGCAATCCAAGAGAGTGACTTGTTCCTGCCTAGAAGAAGAGAAAAACAAACAGCACAAACATAAAACACTGACATTTTCACGACGAGAAAACGGAAAAACAAGTGAAAAAACTCCAGAAAACTCTAGGTGGAACAAAAAAAATGGAACTTTCGTTACTTACCTGGACGGGAATTTGCAATTGCTGCTGAGAAACGTAGACGTTGTATGAATCCGGCTCGCTCACGATCGGTCTCAATGGAGCTGCCGCTGCCGCCGCTCCTGGTGCTGTGCTCGAGCTCCCCAAGTCGACCATGTTCATCCCCATCCCCATTCCCATTCCCATATTCATGCCGACTCCCAGCATTCCCATTCCCATCCCCATCCCGTAAGGCAACGGAGCCATCTGTGGAGGCATTTGCATGTGTGGGTGGCGAACACCATTGGCCATGGCCATTGGAGGCATGCTCATACCGCTTCTCATCGACATCATCTACAAGAACAGGAAAAAGTGTGAGAACTATGTAAAAGTTCGATTTTTTGCACCTGGAGCTGTAGCTGAAGCATCTTCAAGTACTCGATAGCTTCGTCCAGCATGGAAGCTTTGTCGGTCTGTGGGGAAAAACGAAGAGTAACGTCAGTGCGAGATCAAGTGCAAAGACCTTGTTGGAGTTTGGGATGAGCTCTTGCAAGGCTCTCATTTTCTCGTTGATTCTATCGCGCCGCCGCTGCAAAGTCCGCGTGTAAGTCGAGGATGCTCTTAAGACAAAAGAACAAACAAGTTACGTACACGCTCGGAGAGATTGTGAACTTCGGCTGCCCGGCTTCTCTTCGGACGAGTGGCTGGTTTTTTGGTGTCGACAGACTCCGCTTCCACGTCCTGGAAGCCACAAGAAAACGCAAAGATCAATAAGAACCTCGAAAAAGCCTCCGCGTACCTCGCTTTGACAATCCATGGACTCGGTCATCTGTGGAGCCTTCCTCTTCTCGGCAATCCTCTCGGCCTTGTCCGACTTCTCCGTCGTGTTGTCCGACCCTCCGGACGAGGAAGTGATGGTAGGCTCCGCGTCATACTTCTTCGATCCCGCCACACTCTTGTGCTGGCTCTCGTCGTTTCCAAACGACTTTGTCTTGCAGCTCGAGCTCCCTCCCCCGGAGATCATGGATCCCGCCTGCTCTCTCTTGACAGCTCTCGCATGATCGCCAGCTTTGTGCGGAGAAACCAGCGGAGCCGACTCCGCCACGATCGAGCTGCTGCTCCGCTGGACCAAACCTCTCTTCAATCCTTGCTGCTCGGACTCATGAACGAAGGTGGTGGTGGCTGCAGAGCTCGCAGAAAAATTTGGTTTTGACGCTTGCCTTTGATCGAAGACTGCTGCTGCTGCTGCTGCTCCTGCTACTTCGGGATTCATGGCTGCTAACGACGGAGTAGCAGTCGCCGGTGCCACCGTCGTCGTCGTTACCGTCGTCGAAGCCGTAGGCCACTTGGGAACCGGAGGTTGGATCGAGGCAGTGGTCCGGACTCTGCAAAAGGCCTCGAGGCCGACCTGTGAGCTCAGCCCAGCTGCGCGCTCGGCACCAAGCGCCATCGCGGCTTCCGCGCTTGGAAGCTTGCTGGTGGTGGCGGGAGGAGCATTACCACTCGGCTGGATGGCTGGGGGCGACGTGTGAGCAATCGTTGCCCGCCTGGTGCTGCTACAGCCAGCAAACGTCTGCATGCCTGAATTAGGAACGTCGGCAAACAGATCCGAGCAGTAGCTCTTTTCGAAGCTTTCGTCCATGGGGTAGTGCAGCCACGACAACATCTCGTCGTCTTGGGCAGAGACGATGGCGGAGCTGCCGCAGGGTGGCGGTGGTGCCGGCTGGAAAAGCTCCCCTCCCAAGCTCTTGCTATTCTTGATCTCCAACTTTTGCTGCTGCTGCGGCTGTTCTTCCTGTTCTTGGTGGTGATGTTGATGATGGTGGTGGTGATGTTGATGGTGGTGGTGGTGATTCTCTAGCCAGACCCCTGATCCTGTTCCATCCCCAGAGCTTCCAATCCTGTTAATGGTACCGCTCCTACCTTGCATTTCTAGATCTACGTCTAACTCGAGCCGGACTGTTTCCTTGGCTTGGTTCGCGTCACTCTCCCGTCTGGAAATCACAAGAGATATCAGCGAGGCAAAGAGCAAATTCTCTACCCGAAAAGAAGAAAGCAAAAGAGAGAGGTGATCACAGTGGAGGGAAGGGAGAAGAGATTTACGCTAAGGATAATTCGGAGATGTTGAGCTTCCTCTGCCGGAGAGCCTCCCACTTCCCTTTGAGAGGCAAGATCTGATTAGAAAGAAAGGTTCCAGTCATGTTGAGCAGAGGAGGAGCTGGAGAGCTCATACTTGACTGCATTCCAGCCAAGATCAAAAGGAAAAACAGAACAAGACCAAAAAAAAGGAAGAAAAAAACAAAACAAAATCCAGTGCTGTGTGAGTTGAGAGAGATCTTCTCCAAAAAAGAATTTTATACCTTACTATGAAGATACTCACGCTGCTGCCGCTGGGATTGCTCCAAATTCATCACTTGCTCGTCCATTACTTGACGATCATCGCTTCCCCTCGCCTCGGAGCAATAATCTCGCAAAAGAAAAACGATTCTACATTCTTCACAGCAACGCTGCTACCGATTTTAATCTTGCGACGCCTCTGTGATCTTCTTCCTTAGATCTACTTGCTTGCCACAAAATTCCAGCTATTGCACGCTCTAATCGACGCTCTGGAGCTCACATTCTACGCGAATCTGGCAGATGTCCGGCTAAACCCCTCACAGTATTCCATCAACCCTAAATCCGCCATAGCAGCCAGCACAGAATAATTATTATTTCTTTTTTCCACATCATCTTATTGCCATAACAGGAGACTAATTTCAATTTAGTGTCTGGACATGAGAGATTTTTCTTTGCCAGATGGCATTTTTCTAGTGGTTTGAAAGATTTTCCATCACGGCATGCCTTCTAAGAATGTGACATTTGGCACTTCTACAGTATAGATTTTGATCGATTCGATCAATTTTGCATTGCTGTAACTTGTGGCTGTAGATTAAAGTTTCTGTCAAGTGAATATAACATGTGGTATTTGTATTGTGTGGTGTGTAGTTTTTCGTATTTCATTAACCATATTTCTTATATAAACTCATTAATTTGGCCACAAATTCTAAATACATTCAATTAGAGCATGAACATACAATATAAAATATTTCGTACCTTCTAGCTTGAAAATAGCGTCAATTCCATCTGGAGTTCTTTTTGCCTGAAATTTAAAACTATAAGAAAATAATTAAGAAATTTAAATGTTTTTACATAAAACTTAGCCCATTGATTTATTTCCTCCATGAAAGAAACATTTACTAGCTTAATAAGCTCGTCAACAAGCCTCTACAAAAAATTAGTTTATCAAAATAAATACAAAACAAAAAAAAAAAAATTCAATTTTCTCATTGTAACATACCCAAAGGATAAGCTTTGCAGCTACGCCCTCGTCTAAAAGCTTTTGCATATTTCTTTTTACCTTATAAAGCCTACCAAACAAAAAATACATTTCATTTTGTTAAATACAACATCATTTTACAGATAATACCTTCTTGGATTTTGTTCGTCGATGATATCCCGTGCCATGCTAACAATGTCGTTCTCCCACTCGATCGCAATCACCTGGTTTTCGTCAAATGGATACCTTCAATTCAACAACCACTCAAAGTTAGTTCAACAAAAAAATATAAGCTTTCAATCATGAGTTGCTTACTGCTTTAGCTTGCATGCTTCTAATGATAGCACGGCCTGTCGGAAATTCTTCGATGCTTTTGCGATCCGCCAGGCAAAGTGCTCTTGCAGATCCAGATTCTCTCGCTTGGCAACGAAATAAAGAACTTGCACAACCTGGAAGATGGCAAATCTATTCAGGAAAACAACGGACGACTGTTGGGATTTCTCTGTACTTACGTCATCTACTGTTGGATTGTGTACGTCCACGACAATGCACCGCAATCGAACAGAGTCGGAGAGCTTAGACGGCTGAGAGCAGCAGAGCAACATGAACTTGCAATAATCTGAGTAGCGGTCCATGAGCCAGCGAATATGCTGCTGTGCCTCGGCACTCACTTCGTCCGCATCATGAAGAACAAGAACTGGATTATATAAAAATCTTAAGTATCATAAACAAAGAGGAAAAGGTGAAAGCTGTACCTTTGTAGCTCCTGATATAAGAATCGTTATCATAAGCTGTACATGCCACTTTCATTTCTTTCAAGAGTGTGGTGAGCACGGGCCTTAAATAAACTCCAACATGGAGGAGATTCAGTTCAACATGATGAGCACTTGATGCTATAGGAAGAGACACTTTTGTTCCCTGTCAAAACAACGATTTATAAGCATCCGTATCTCTGTTGGCAAGAAAAGAACGGAACAAAGAATATAAAAATGTGAACAGGCAGACCTCGACGTCAAAAGTTCTAGTGAAATCTCTAACCTGTAGAAAACAAATCAAAACAACGTGATCTATCCAGCATAAGAATCTTAAAAGAAAATGCGATAAAGACAGACCAGCCACGCAGAAATTCCAAAGGCATCTCGCAGCAGCGCCATGATCAAACTCTTTTTTCCGCATCCAGGAGGTCCTTCGAAAAGCAAGTGATGACAGTGCCCCGCAGATATCTGATTCACAAAGTGCTCAGTCCAAGGATGATCAAGCACGGAAATCACGCAACAAAGTTACTAGTTGCTTCAAATCGTGGGCCTGCCGACAGTTGATAACGAACGAGGACAAGCTCTCGGGACGATGCTTGTTAACCCACAACTTCGGCGTGCTGGATATGAAACTCGTCGTCTGATTTTGAGCAGCAACAGAAACGCAGCTGCTAGCCGGCAAGCAACTCGATTGCTGTGAATCGCCGTTTGTGGAGTGCTGGGCTGGCAGCTCAACAAGCCGGTTACATGCCGCAGAACAAGTCGAAAGCTTGGCCACCAATGCACCCAGATTGTTGTGAGAAACAGAACGAGATAGCTTAGTACCGGCGTGATCTTTCCTCAGTAGAGGGTTGGTTGTGGAAACAAAGCTTGCGGTGGTGCTCGTTCTCTCGATGCTTGCGGAGAGCGATTCATGATCTTGTAGTCTTTTGAAACTGGAAGGCCCAGTGTTAGGCCTGTTTTGAGTATAAGTGGTGTCGTTTCTGCTCCATGTTTTCGTTAGAAATCTATGTTTTCTTGAGTTTCCGGTACCTTTCTGAGGTGTACGTGGAATTTACTCCAGAGAGGGCTTGAGGATCGTGATCGCTTTTCAACGTCGAAGTTCCAGTCCTTTGAAAATGGTTGAATTCAGTGTTCTCCTTGCTTCTATACCAAAATTCTTGTAGCAAAAGGAAAAAAAGAAAAGAAAAGAAAAAACGAATACCTTGGAGAAACAATGGTACTAGTTCTCTGGAAATGGTTGAATTCAGTGTTCTCCTTGCTTCTGTACCAAAGATCTTGTCGATAGAACAAATAAAAAACGAAACATGATACCTTGGAGAAACATTGGTACTACAACCCACGACCGGAGTCTTGGGCCGCGCTGGCGGGATTATGGATCGCATCGATGCCGTAACATTGGCGAGGTGTCCTACCTCCGCAGGCTTTGTGTTGAGATCCGACCAGGCGCCTCCGAAATGAAATCCCGAGGCGCTCGCGCTCGAATCCTCCTCCTCCGGCTTGCGGCTTTGGAATCCAAATCGATTCCTCGTGCCAGCGCCTTGCATTCCCTAGCTATCCCTGATCTTGAAAAGAACCAGACCTGGAAGAGGAGAGAATCCATCGCGGCGGACACAACGAGCGAGCTTCACGACAAAGAGCTCTGTCTTTTAGGGCAACCCCAAATTCAAATTCTAGGGCTGACGAGGCAAACTTCAAGTGGATAAAGCGTTGCCGCGTGACGCCTAGGTGGCAATCACATTCGTGGCGTAGTCTGTGTACCTTGGAATCGAGGCGATGGCGTCGGCGGCTACAGCGTGCTACCAGGCGCTTGGAGCGTCGCGATCGCGGCATTGTGATCCTGCTGCCTTCGCCAAGGTGAGATATCAATCGCAATTCCAATCGTCAGCTCGGCCGTGATCGATTCGATCGTTCTCCAGGCTAGGGTTTTGGCGAGACAGAAGCACCAGCAGCGGCGATTCCCCCGGCTACGCCAGGTCAGTGCGGTTCTAGACACTCCCAGCGAGAGGACAAACAGTAGCGATCCATCAGAGCCAGCAAGGGTTGCCCTGGAGAGGCTGTTCTTGGGCGGCGGCAGTGGTAGCGACCAGGGGCTCATAGAGTCGGTCTTGGATGGTGGAAGCGGCGTTTCTCATGTAGTTATCGACGAGGAGCTCAGGAGGAAGGAGGAAGAGCTTAAGACTGCCGAGACTGTGGCTCGAGAGGATCACCACCAGCTAGAAAACACGAAGTTTGCGCTCGTTAAGAGAGAAGATGTGCTCGAGGATGCTCGGCAGGGGCAGGGAAAGAAGCGCGATGAGATTGGAAATCTTTACAAGGAGCTGGTTGAGCAAGCAAAGGAGGCCGAGAATGCGCAGAAGGTGGTGGACGAGCAGCAGCGCCAGCTCGAGGCCTTGCAGAGGACTCTCTCGAAAAAGCAGGAGGTGATTGCTCGATCCAAGGCTCAGATCTTTGCCAAAGACGAGGCGCTTGCTCAGTGCCGCCGGGAGTTGAAGGTGAGAGACTCGCGGCTCAAGCATGCAAACGAGGTGATTGCACAGCAGGCTGCAGAGCTTAAGGAGCTTCGAAGTTCTCTCGAGCTAAAAGAGGCCGGGCTCAGGACTTTGGAGGAGAATGTGAAGTTCAAACAGGAACAGATCCAAAAGACCGAGGCGGACCTGAGCACCCGAGTGATCGCGTACCTGAGCGTCGAAAGAGAGCTAAAATCACTCGAGGCAGATCTTTCGAAGAGCAAAGCGTTGAATGTGGAGGCTGGGAAGGAGCTGAAAGGCGTCAAAGATCTTCTCACGGAAGTGCAAGAAGAGTTGAGATTCTCGCAGATGCGACTTCAGCAGTACAAGAAAACGGTGGAGGAGCAGTCCATACAGATAAAAAGCCAGCAAGAAGAGATCGCTCTGCAGAAGAGCCTGGTGGAGTCTTTCGAGTTAAGTCTGGCCGAGGCGAAGGAAAGAACTAAGCGAGAGGAGGAACAAGTACGACTCGCAAAGGAGTCATATAAGAAGCTTGAAGAGCAATCCGCGAATGAAAGGCTGGAGGCCGAGAAGCTACAGCTAGAGCTAAGAAACGAGAAGTCAGCACTGCAAGAAGCTACAACGGAGATAAATTCTCTCAAAAGAGAGTTACAGCAGAAAGAGACCGCTCTCTCGGATACGCAGCTGGCTTTACGGCTCAAGGAAGCGGAGCTAACTGCGTCTCAGGTGGAGCTCCAAGAGCTAAAGTCAAACTTCGCCTCGATGAAGCTGGAGCTGGATCAGAAAAACAGCGAGCTGAGACACGCACAGACGGTGGTTAACGCGTTGCAGCAGGACGTGAAGCGTTTGAAGGCTCTGCTCAGCGCGAAGGAAGAAAAGCACGTCGAAGTGGTGGCTGCGCTGAAGGCCAAAGAGGAGGAGCTCGTTTCCATGCGGAAGAAACTGGACGCCAACAACGTGAAGATGTCTCAAGTCAACTTTGCCGTGGAGCAAATCTCCGCGTTATCGGAGGCGCTGGTGGACTCCATTGCCGACGACAAGCCATCACTCTTGAGCCGGGAGTCGGTACTCCGCCAGACGAACCACGAGCTCTTTGCTTCGAACCGTGCACTGCTAGAGAACGAAGTGCAGACGATCAGGCTCCAGGAGCAAGCCGCGGAAGACGAGAAGAAGCTCCAGCATCTGGAACAAGAAGTAGAAGCCGCGAAGGAGCTTTTGGTGGAAAAGGACCTCGAGCTTCAAGGCCTTCACAAAGCCATAGCCAGCAAAGACAATGAGCTGACGGAGATACTAGAGCACAAGACGGACAGGAGCGGGGACTTCATCGAATTCTCGGAGCTCCAACCGGCCGTCTCGGCTCTCCAAAGCCTCGTCCAGCTAAGTGCCAACCTTTCCGACGAGGTGGAGTTGATGGATTCACAGGCGCAACAAGGAGAACGCAGCGATCTTGAGACAGAGATCCTCCAACGCGACGAAGCTCTCGTCCACACCAGGCAAGCTGTTTGCAACTTAGCCGAGCTAACCAGGCAACTCCTCGTCGAGAGTGGTCACTGACGATCCAATACGCGTGTATAACAACGTAGCAGGCTCGAAGGTCACCGGTACCACGAGAGAAGAGAAACTTTGGTGATCATCCAAAGCTTGACAGAAGAGAGTTTGTATCGGAGAGGAAGATTTATAGTGTGTATACGCTGCTGTAAATCTCGAGTGTAACTAATGAAATTTTTTACTTCATTTACAGTTTTTTTTTCGAGTTTGAATGGAAGAACCATCACGATGGCTCCGAGGAACTTCTTCCTCCGCTTCGTGTTGGTGGTGATCGGCGTGATCGTGCTCGCAAGAGACTCTCCATTTGCGGTAGCGTACGCCTAGCTTGTCATATGGAACTGGGAGGTTCCATACGTTTGCTCCACGAACCATTCGCTCTTGTTGCCCTTCGACCAGTCTTAGATCTTCGTCTAGAACCTGTTGAGGAAAAGAATATAGTAACGAAGCCTTGATAAGAAAAAGCAAAGGCATACCTTTCGTGCTAAATGCACCCAAAGAGTTTGGATGAACGGGACGTACTTCAGCCAGGGAGCGAAGTCCAAAGACATCCTGTAGAGCAGCCTCGTCTTACCTCGCGTCGAGGGTATGCAGACGTGCAATTGGTGGAGATGGTTTTTGCACGACTGAGTGTCACTGCCCTCTAGTTTGCCTGGCTTTGCGAGACCGATCGTCGAGAGAACCATGCACGGTCGCCTAAACTCCATATCAATGGGATATGGATCCCAGTAGCCACGCAGAGTCTCTACAGGTGTTTTGAACTTCACGGAGCTGGAGCCAAGGAATAGTTAAGACACGAAAAGAGAAGAACGATAAACGAACCTTGGGACAGACCAGCCTTTGGCGAACGTTGTAGTGTGCGTGAACGGAGCGTGGGCCAGGTCGAGCAAGTTTTCCATCAAAAGACCATGCTCCACTTCCAAGTCGAGAATAATCTACAAAAAGGAATGCTTTGAAAAGAACAAACAAGGGAAAAACAAAGCAATCACCTCGGCATGCAATGTGAAGTTCTCTGGAGGTAGCAAGCTCGGAATGTCGCTCTCTGGCGTCGCCGAGCCCGGCCAAATCCAAACCAGTCCATCCTTTTCTATGCACGGCATTGATTTCACTTTCGTCGGGACAAATCTCGTAGACGGCATTTTCTCGCAGGAGCCACTTGTTGCATACTCCCATCCTAAAGAGACAAAGGTTAAAGCTAAAGAAAACGGATCACCTCGCCATAAACTTTACCGTGATATGGACATTGCAAACAGCCATCGTTGACTTTGCCGAGAGAAAGTGGACAAGCTCGATGTGCGCAAGCATCATGGATGCATCCAGCCCGGCCATCCTTGCCCCGGAAAAGCACCCAATTCTTTTCAAAGATCTCAATTGCCAGCTGAAAGAAAAGTAAACAAAGAAAAAGGGTCTCCTGTCAGCTACACAATGAGAAAAGCAAAGTTTGTGGGGTTGGAAAGCTTACAGGTTTTTCAGAGTCGAGGCAAGCCGAAAAAGCAACCGGATACCAATAATTTTTCATCTCGGCTGGATACCGCTTCACGGGCCCTGCGATGTTTAGTCCTTTAGATTTGCTGCTGGTGGCATTCTTCCTTACGGTCACTGCTGCTTCATCTTTCTGCAGGAGCTCGTCGTTTACCATGGTTTCCATCTCGGCCAACTTCGAGAGCGTGTGATTTACTCTAGCTTCTGAAATGTGCACCTGGTAAAGCAAATGGCATTTGGAATTCATCGTGAAAACTCGGAGGAAAAGAAGAAAAGACACTCTTTTACCTGTGCATGGGCTCTTTGTAGATCTTCTTGTAAGTTAGCTAGCTCACGTTTGAGCGTGTTGATGGACTTGGTTTCTCGAGCGAGAGGATTTAGCACCTCCACAACCTGAGAGAAAAATACATGAAAGTGTAATTCATGGAAGTGTAAAAGAACTATCAAACTAAAGACCATACCTTGTCATGAGCGTCTTTGATTGCCAAAACATCCTGCCGAGCTCTCAAATCCAAAAACTCCACGTCGTGCCTCAAGAGCTCCCACGCTTGATTCACATCGATGACTCTGGATCCCCTCTCGGCATCGGCATGGGAAAAATCACCGATCTCCAATCCCATCCCACAAGAAAGCCCCCCGCCATTCTCACTCTGCCTGACGCAAAAATGCCTCCTACATCGTCTCAGCAATCGCTTCCTCTGTGTCCTCGAAAACAATCTCGACGAGCTACCTAAATCTACGCCTAGAACTACCGGCACTTCGAGCGAATTCGAAATCCCCACTCCAGAGAAGAGAGAATTCCGTGCGCCGGGATTCAATGCCGACTCCATCGCCAGGAGCTAAAATCTTATCCAACCGGCCGCATTCTCGATCAAACCCCAATGGCAATCCAAACCTGGAGCTAGCTTCTGCCCTCCCACACTAGCATAAACCCTAACACTCCAACGTGTACGATCCAACGGCATCCGTGAGAGAAGATAAACGTCCTTTACCACGTGGACTTTTTCAATTGGACCTTAAGATTTTAGGATTGCTCGCGTGGCAGCACGTGGCTCTCTTGCGATTGCGGGGCCTAAACACGCGCCACATGTTTGATACTGGAGGGGTCCCATGGATACCAGCCACAAGGCCAATGGGCGGCTCTCAGCCGTCGGATGCCGCGATCAGACGTAGGAAAATGCGCCAAGTCTGCATGGGTTCGATTCGTTCCGTGTCGCGAAATTCGAAAGGCTGTGGTGGGTATATTTTCGTCATTATTGGTTCCAAGAAAACACCTCTGGTCGCCTAGGGCATTATTGGAAGAAACGTAGCTAGACAGCATTCTAACATAAGATCATTCACGAAACCATATAGTATGAAAAATAATTCCTTCCATTCATATAGCATGAGAAATTTGACAACGGCAAACTTAATTTAATAACGAACTTTACCACGTGGAGACCTAATGAGAATCCGTGGCCTGGCCTCGCAAAATTTCAACACGAAAGAAGAGAAGAAGCGAGCATATACGCATTGGAAGATCTCATGTACTATCCGAGTTTGGTAGGCATGGAATATCTGTGGTGTGTATGCGGATGGTCATTGTCAGCCGTACCAATTATTTCCTGTTATAAGCGTTTAAAAGTAAAAGGTGGTGGCAGATTTTAGGGCAAAGGTGCCCGTCCATTCGAGGGAACGTTGGGTGGCGTCCGTTAGTGTGACGGACGGCCATGCGGCCATCCATCCAATGCATGACGTGGCATGGCTGTGACATGCCACATTCGCCTGTGGATGGACCCCATCGAGGGGAGGGGCTTTCATTTTTCACGATGTTCACGGTCTTCTCTCAGCAGCGTCTTGTGTTCTCTGGGACACCTCCTAGAATGGAAAAAATAGGGAAAGTTTTAGAGTTCCAGTAGGGATCGTCGAGGAGGAGGAGGAGCGGCGATGGCGATGGCGCTAGAGTGCCGATCCCTGCTCTAGAAGAAGGTGCTGGCGCCGGCGCCGCCGCCGTAATATCGCCTGGATCGATCGCCGAGGAAGAAATCGGGGCTTGTTTCTCCGCCGGGGCATCGAATTCCACCGCGATCGCCGATATTTCACGAGGTTTGGGATCTAGATTAGTGTTCTAGCAGCAATGCTCGATGCTACTCATCTGGATGCTTGCTAATTTTGGAGTCGATTCGTGAGTTTTGGTTTCGGCATAGATATTTCGACAACTAGGAATTGCCTGGAGCGAGGTTTTCTCTTTTGTTTGCTTCTTGCTTCTTTTCTTGTTTGAGCATGCTAGATGGCCCCAGAAGATGGGAGCCTTTGCATGGTCGATAGGGGAGTGTCTCTAGACTCTTCTGGGGGGCACTGGGTTGCGGCTGCTACAGCCGGAGACGAGAGAGACGTTTTCATCTCTTGGTTAAAGGGTGAATTCGCGGCAGCAAATGCCATCATCGACGCACTTTGCCAGCATCTCCAACAGGTTGTGGGTCGTCCCGGGGAATACGACTTCGTACTTGGGAGCGTTCACCAGCGACGGTACAACTGGAATCCCGTTCTTCATATGCAGCAGTACTATTCCATTGCGGACGTCCTCTTCTCGTTGCAGCAGGTTGCTTTTAGAAAGCAGGCTCCAGTGGCCAGTGGTGGTGATTCTCCCGTACAGGTTGAGGGGAACCCCTCGATCAGGTCCGGTTTAAAGAGCAACAAGGTTGATGCCGAGATAGAAAGTAAAAGGAGTGACAGTCCTCTCGCTGACGAGGCGTCGATTGCTTCGGATACAACTTCTAGCGTTGAAGAACTCAAAACAGAATTGCCTTCGTCGAACATCTCGACTGCAAAACGTTCAGGTTTTTTTCCTTTTGACTAAGTTTAAGTCTTTCGTTCACTTCAAATAGTTTATAGGCTGACACCCTCTTAGCTATTGCAGATGCAAAGAAGACGTCATCTGTAGCCGACGAAAGTGCGGAAAAGTCCATGAGCGGATTTGAAGAGATTGACGGCCAAAAGGTTTCTCCTTTGTCCTTCTTTAGCATCGTTTTATCTGTTCTCGTGCAGGTAAATGTGCTAGAGGGGCTTAAAGTTCACGAAGGCATTTTTGATACCAAAGAAGCCTCGCGGCTAGCGGCTCTGGTTAGCGAGTCTCATGCTGCAAAAAAGAAAAACAAAATTGAAGGTCCACCAAATCTTTTGTCCAATTTTTCGTTTTTGTGTTCTGACCTTTGGCGACGCTAAAACTTTCAAGTTTTTCTTTATATGCAGCGGGCGGTAAGCGATCTTCAAAAGCGAAGGGAAAAGAAGTAATTCATTTCGGCACTATACCGTCTGAAATCTCGTCGCCCGTTACAGGTAGGCTGTTTATATTTCTGGCAGTTCATCTAAGTTTCAACTTGTACATACAGAAGAGACGGCTGAACCGATGCCCGCATTTTTGGAATCAATAATTGATCGCCTAGTAAAGTGTCAGGTCGTTCCTGCAAGCAAACGACCGGATTCATGTAGTATAAGTGTTTTGGAGCCGGTAAGCCGCACTTCAGTTGTACGAAGCTCTTTCTTTCATGGCTAATTCTATTCAGTACTTGCGATATGACAGGGAGACTACATGCCTCCGCACAAGCACAACAATTTTGAGCAACCTCTGTTTATTCTTTCCCTGGGATCGCAGTCCGAGCTAGCATTCGGTCGCAACTTGAAAGCGAACAGCAGCAGCACGGATGAGAAATACAAAGTTGGCCTTCCTGCGGGGTAAACAATTTTGCTTTTCTGCTTGCTACAGAAGTTGGATTTTGTGAATGACGTGACTTGGGATATTGATCCAGGTCAGTACTAGTGCTCGAAGGCAACAGCGCACAAATGGTACAGTGCGCAGTGCAGCCTCTGCAAAGCACACGGATGCTGGTCACCTTTGGTAAAATGGCCAACAAAAGCTTGAAAGCGATCATCGGGAGCCCAACGTCACCAAGCGGCTCGCCAGTATCTCCCACGGTAGCTCCGGATGCTTCTTTCGGCAACAACAAGCCGGGACACAACTTTGTCCACGTTCTAGCACCGGCAAGAGGCTTCCAGTCGTCACGAACGCAGCAGGGAGTCCCGGCTCCAATGGTAGTCCCGGTCAGAACAGCACCAGGACAGGTTCTCCAGGCACAGCAACCAGTGATCATCGCCAGCGTCGGCCCGTTTTCTCCAGTGACTATGGTCGGCCCGGGATGGTCGACTCCTCCCCCTCCGGGGATCACGCGAGTTCCCAGCCCGGGAACTGGAGTTTTTCTTCCTGCCAGCAACGGTGCCGTGCTCTACAACTCGTCGCATCGCTCCAGGTCCGCGGCGCACCACTTTGACGCTGCTTCCGATGGCCACCACCACCGGAAAGCTATTGCGGCCTGAAGAAGAAAAAGAAAGTTTTGGATCACTGTTGAGACTATGAAAAAAGCATCAACATCAACATCGTCCGGGGCGATCGATCGATCGTTTTGGTTGTGGCGTTCTTCTCTCCAGCAGCAAAACAGATTCTTCATTCCCTGATCTTTTGTTCTTGAGCTGGGATAACTTCTCAAGAAAACAATGCTTTTCCTTTTCTCTCATTCTTTCTAGGTTCCACTCCAACACGAGGATCTTGCTTAGAGATTAGCACAACGTCGATGTTAGCAGCAACGCATCGCGTCGTCGCAGTGGAAGATATTTTAACGACAATTTTGTTAGCAAGAATCCCGGAATTATATTTTTCCCCACAAGGCGACAGCGGCATTCCATTGGCGAGCCAATGAGCGGCGTTTGGTATCTCCAGGCAAGCATTGGAAAAATTTTATCGCAAACGACAAATGAAAACTAGATTCAAAGGTTCCTCCTGTCCCACCGGCCATGATTCACCAGATTCCTGGAATCTTTCTCTAATCGCGTTTTTCACCACAGGGTAAATCTTTTGGGGAGACGTGAGAACCAGTTAGACAGAGCCAAAGAACTCCACAAACTTGGCAACCTCCAAAACCTTGGTGGAAAAACCTTAACGAAGACATTGGCCCAAGTTAAGTTTGAGAGGAAACGAATCCTTTCTTGCGCTGTTTATAGGAATGCATCCAAAATCCCACTTGCATCGTGCCGATTAAACAAATGCCGGGGAATCTTATATGTGATGTCTCGGTAGTCCTGCGAGTTGCTTGTCCAAATTACGACCCGGTCGTTTTTTCTTTCTTTTTTTTATTGCATATGTTAGGGGTTTGACATTAGGCTCACAGACAAAAATACATATATAATAGAAATAAGTTTTAAAATTACCAATAACAAAACTAAATAAAAATAAAATAAAATCAGGCGGTATCGCCGATTCGTATCCGCGACCGGCGATTCTGTCGCCCTCGCGATCAGCAGCAACGCGCAGCTCGCGTTTTTCTCAAATTAGTAAAAAGCGCCAAAATGGTGCCCGTCCACGTGGCGCGTAGGGACGCGTGGACGGCACATCGACCGTACGCTGCGTAGAATGTTTCGGTCCAAGAATTTTGGGCTTAAATAAATTTAGGGCAAGGGGAGAGCTCTCTCCATTCTCTACCAAGAGGTAATTCATCTGATTCTTCGCATTAAAATATGTGGAGTAGCATCGCGGGGCACTGTTGAGCCCTAAATTTCGTCCTCTTCGCTCGATCGAGCGCGCGCGGCGAGCCCGGCGATGCTGCGATGCGATCGAGGTGCTACCATGTCGACTGAGAGTCCAGTGTTGTTCTACTCTTCTTCTTCCCCAAATGCCCCTTGGTCCTCCGTGGTAGACATGGCCGCGGCGGCGGTGGTCACAGCTTCCTCGCCCTCCAAGTCCCTTCTTGACGATCTATCGGAGCTCATGGATCTCGACACTCTCCCGGGGCAATCCCTCGCCCCTGATGGATCATCCTCGCCATGGCTGGTTTCTTCCTTCTCTCCGGTGGATCAATCGGCGGCAGCGCAGCAAATCTCCTCCTCCTCTCCTCTCCCCTCACAGATTGTCAGCCCCCATCACCTCTTCTTCAAGGCCTCGGACAGCTCGCCGCCGAGCTACCGATCCTTCGGCTCCCTCGGCACCTTCTCCTTCGATTCCTCGCTCCTCGAGGAGCTCCTGGGCGAGGGCGGCGATATTTCGAGCAATAATCCCTCGCTGGATGAAGGGATTCCTTCCGGTGGTGGCGCCATGGCCAGCCTCGCCACGAATTTCTTCACGGAGCGGCTCAAGGAGGCGCTGCGCCTCATCTCGCGATCGGAGACCGAGGCGCTCGCGCAGGTGTGGGTGCCGATCCTCTCGCAGGACAACAAGATCATCCTCACCACGCAGGAGCAGCCATACTCGGTGATGCACAGCAAATTCGATCTCCTGCGCTACCGGACGCTCTCCACGGCCTACGTTTTCCCGTCCGAGAAGACCTCGGACTCCACCTCGGCCTCCCACCTCGGCCTCCCGGGCCGGGTTTTCTCGAGCCGGGCACCCGAGTGGACGCCCAACGTCCAGTTCTACGATAGCAGCGAGTACTTGCGAATCCGCGAGGCTGCGCGGTGTGATGTCAAGGGATTGGTGGCGGTGCCCGTGCTGGATCCCAGCTCGCGCTCGTGCCTGGCGGTGATCGAGCTCGTCACCAATGTGGAGAAAGTGGAGTTTGGGAGCGAGATCGGGATTATTTGCAGTGCTCTCCAGGTACGAGTAGATCTTTCGTGTGTGCTCGTTTTGTTTGTCTTCTAGTCTCTAATGGAGGAGATCTTTTCAGGCTGTGGACTTGGCTGGAGCACCCAAAGAACACGATCCAATGGTTCTCGAGGTAAGCGTGCTCAGAGTTTTGTTAGTTCCTTCAGTAGTTCTTCGAAGATTTTCTCTTTCCCTTTTGTTCCTGATCTAAGCTAGTTCTTCGAAGACTTTTCTCTTTGTTCCTACAAAGCTTTGTCTTGGGAAGCCTTTTCTCTCTCACTTTCTTCCAAGCTTAGAGGAGCTCATTTTTCTCAAACTAAAGTCGAGCAAGTTGTTCCTCTTCTCGGTTTAGAGTTGTCAAGATTCCCAATTTTTCTTAGATCTCTTTTGACTTTTAGAGCTTCTCCAAGTCGAAAAACAAGATTTTTCTAAATTGGAAGTATCGAATCCATGCAGATCCACAGCGAAGGCCGGCACGCAGTCTACCAAGAAATCTCCGAAATCCTCCGTGCCGTTTGTGAGACACACAAGCTACCAATCGCACAGACATGGCTGCCGTGCCTCCACAACGGCAGTGGCAACGAAGAGATCCTCGTCGCCGATACCACACCCGCCGCGGCTGCTGCCTCGGATCACATCAGCCTCTTCACCAGAGACGCCCCGTTCTACGTCTCGGACCCTCGCTTCGTGGGCTTCCACCACGCTTGCGCGGATCACAGCCTCGATCAAGGCCAGGGAGTAGCAGGGAAGGCATTCGCATCCAACAAGCCGTGCTTCATCTCGGACGTCAAGAACTATCTGATCGAGGAGTACCCGCTGGTCCACCACGCGCGCTACTTCAAGCTCGGCGGCGCGGTGGCGATCCGGCTGAGGAGCTCCATCACTGGCGCGGAGGATTACGTGCTCGAGTTCTTCATGCCGGCGGAGATCGATAGCGCTGGCGGCGCCGCGTTGCTCACGTCCATCTCGGCGACGATGCAGCGCGCCAGCCGGAGCTTACGGGCGCTTTCAGCTGAAGAGCTACGGCACGAGTACCAGTTAGGATCGACGGCTACGGTGGCTCCGACGGCTGGGACGGCGAAGAAGAACCATCCGATTGGGGACCGTGGGGAGGCGAAGCTACACAAGACGAAGAAGACGAGGGGGCCGAGTCTCGAGGAATTGGAGGTGGGCGATGGTTTCAGTTCATGGGGGAGCGGCGGAGGAGCTCCGCCGATCGCTGCTACTCACGATGTGCTGACGGGCAAGTCGAAGAGATTGGAGAGGAAGCGATCGATGAGTGAGAAGACGATCGGGCTGGAGGTTTTGCAGCAGTACTTTGCTGGGAGCTTGAAGGATGCTGCCAAGAGCATTGGAGGTAAGAGCTCTCTTTCAGATTTCGTTCCTCTAGCTGCGAGCTGAGCTTGGCTTTGTGTTATTCAGTGTGTCCTACGACTTTGAAGAGGATCTGCCGGCAGTATGGGATCTCCCGCTGGCCGTCTCGCAAGATCAACAAGGTCAGCCGCTCGCTGATCAAGCTCCAAGGCGTGATTGATTCGGTCCAGGGACTGGATGGCGCTGTCAAGCTCAATGCACTCACTGGCGAGCTCGCCTCCGCCGCCGCTGCAGCTGCCGCCATCACCAGGAAGAACTCCAGAAGCACTCTCGATCCAACCGCTACTGCTACTCCTAGTCCTGCTCGATCCAGGAGCCCCGAGTTTGAAGCACCAGCTCAAGGTTCTCCTGCTCGATCCGGGAGTCCCGATTTTGAAGCACCAGCTCAAGAACCCGCCGCCAACGCCATCGCCAGCAAAGATTTCCTTTCCGACACGGACGAGAAGCCAAACTCCGACGAAGGCGAGGGGAGATCCTCGTGGTTGTCTCACTACGTGGAGAGCACATCCAGGGGTGTGGAAGCAGCCACCACAACCAGTACGGAACCAGGCCCGGTAGCGGTGAAGATGGAGCCACGTGTCCACGGCTCCTCGGCGGCGCTGGCGGCGCTCAACGGTGGTCCCCTCGACGCCGACAACTGTACGGAAGCGGCGTTCCGGCGGAGCTCGTCTCCGCCTGAGCTGGAGCTGTCGCGAATCGAGGCCGGGCACGTGTTCTCCCCGTACCAGTCATCCGGCGACTCGCCGGCGTCGTCGCCACCGCCGTACAGGTACGGATGTCCCATTGTCACCGTGAAGGCGACAATGGGGTCCGACACGGTGCGGTTTAAGGTGCCGTACACGGGGTTTGGGTACGGGCGCTTGCGGGAGGAGATCTCTGGCCGGTTTCGGCTGGAGGGCGATGGATTTACGCTGAAGTACTTGGACGACGATTCGGAGTGGGTGATCCTGGATGGCGATGCCGATTTGGAGGAGTGCTTGGACGTGATGAAGGGGTCTCACGCGCACACGATCAAGCTGGTTGTCAAGGATATTAGAATTGGAGGAGAAAGAGGAGGAGGGCGGAACAACAGTTCGCACAGCTTGAGCAGCGTCAAGTTGTGACACGATCGAAACGATGACGACGACAAGAACAAAAGGAAATGCTTGTGAAGTTTTTTCCTTGGCTCGAGGAAAAAATGGCAACTTGGAGTCGGAGGAGCTTGGACATTTTCTTGAGAGGTATGTGTTTATGGTCTTTGCCTTGGTAGCTCAAACTTGCTTGAGGGAAGACAGGAAAATGCGAATGGAGAAGACAGCCATCTCGCTGTTTTCTGTAATCCATCTCGATTGTTCCACAGCACAAAAGGAAAAACTTTTCCTGTATATACATATATATATATCTGGTCACGCAAAAGCTTGTATTTCTTATTTCGTTCTAATAGCTGAAGTTTCTGGTTTAATTCTTGGAATGTCCTCTTTCTTTTTATGATTTAATCTTTCATCTTTTCAGGATCACCTGGTTCGTGTGCTCCTCGTATTTTTCTGCTGGCACTTCCGGATGATGTCGATTTGTCATCGCCTCTGGAACATCTAAACTGGTATGATTTTCTTTTTTCTCAAGCCTGGATCATCTTTTCACTTAACATCAAGTCTCGCCTCCCAGATCTTTGGAGAAACACGTCGATCCTTTCTTACCACTAATCTAAAGCCATTACTTCACGGTGAGCTCACGGATCATCCAATCACGCTTGTGTGGCTGTGGAGTTTCCGTTTTCTGGCTTATTACTTAGCACGTAGCATTGACACCACTCTGTGTTTGTGATAGATAGAGCTCCGGTGGGAGAGCCCCGCCGAAGAGGAGAGTCGAGATGGAGTACTTCCCCGCGCCTGGCAGGAATCATCTCTTCGTTCCAGGGCCGACCAATGTCCCCGAGAAGGTAATTCAAGCATTTAGTAGGGGGAACGAGGATCATCGCTCTCCAGCGTTTGCTACGCTCTCCAAATCCGTGCTGGACGGTGTCAAGGATCTGTTTAAGACCAAGACTGCCACTTCGTTCATCTTTCCAACAACAGGTACTCAAAAAATCTCTTTTTTCTTGCTGCTCTTCCTGTGAAGTCAAGTTCGAAAATGCTTTTTTTTTCCTTTTTTTTTCTCTCAGGAACTGGAGCTTGGGAGAGTGCACTGACCAACACATTATCACCTGGAGATAAGATTGTCTCGTTCCGTCTGGGACAGTTTAGCCTGCTCTGGATCGATCAAATGCAGCGCCTCAAGTTTAACGTGGACGTAGTGGACTGCGAGTGGGGAGCTGGAGCCGACCTTAACATCCTCAACGCTAAGTTGGCCATGGATTATAATCACGAGATCAAAGCTATATGTATCGTCCACAATGAAACTTCTACCGGAGTTACCAATAGCATCCCATCGATACGAGCACTCCTCGGTTCGTTTCTTCTTTTTTGTTTCATATCCTTCATGAAACTTACGTTGTTTCTTCCTTGGTTTTTTTTTCTTTTTTTTCCTTACTAGATAAGCATAAGCATCCGGCATTGCTGCTGGTGGACGGAGTTTCATCGATTGGAGCAATCGAGTTTAAGATGGACGAGTGGGGAGTGGACGTTGCCTTGACGGGGTCCCAAAAGGCTCTGGGACTTCCAACGGGATTGGGAATAGTTTGTGCCGGACCAAAAGCTCTCGAGGCAGCCAAGACGGCCACCTCTCCCCGAGTGTTCTTCGACTGGGCCGACTACCTCAAGTTTTACAAGCTCGGCTCCTACTGGCCTTACACTCCCTCGAGCCAGATGCTCTACGCTCTTCGAGCCTCTCTCGACTTGATCTTCGAGGAGGGCCTGGACAACGTTATCAAGAGGCACGCCAGGCTTGGAGAAGCCACAAGGTTCGATGTTTTCATTTTTCCAAGTGTATCTTTACTTTGAGAGGTTTTTGACGCTATTTTTTGTGAAATCTTCGCAGGCTAGCGGTGGCAGCGTGGGGACTGAAGCTGTGCACTAAACGTCCCGAGTGGAACAGTGACACCGTAACAGCAGTGGTGGTACCACCTTATATCAACAGCTTAGACGTGGTGAAGATGGCATGGAAAAAGTATAACTTGAGCTTGGGAGTGGGACTCAACAAAGTGGCAGGCAAGGTTTTCAGGATTGGGCACCTGGGTTTCGTAAACGAGGTGAGAAGTTCTTTCTTTTTTATGGAAAACTTTCACGACTCAAGAAGCTTTCTTTTGCCCCAGTTGCAACTGCTGGGAGCCTTAAGTGGGGTGGAGATGATCCTCAAAGACATTGGATACCCGGTTGTGCTCGGAAGTGGAGTCGCCGCTGCTGCCGCTCACCTCCAGAAAAAGACCCCACTTATCTCGTCCAGGTTGTGAATGAACGAAAGTGATTGTGGCAAAAGAAAAGATCTTTCTATTTATTATCTCTTCTTTGTTCTTCTTCTACCTCGAGAGTCAAAGAAGAAAAGAGAGATCCTTATAGCATAGTGAGCAATCACCCAGCCAAAGTATAATCCTTGCACGAAGTTCTATCGAATCTCCACCGCTGTTGATTGAAAGATATGTGCTTTCAAACTTTTCTTTGATTGCTTCTTTGTTTATATATAGTTCTCGTATTCACACACGTTACACATATATCGGTTGGACTTATCTATTCGCCTTTATCGATCCAAAATACTGGCGACCATCCTGGCAAATACACATCGCTTATGAATGTCTAGAAAAAAGTGGTAGAAAAGTGTTTTTTCTTGACTTACCACTCGCAGGCACTGGGAGATATCGGCTCAGGACTGCTCGCAGTAGCAGCAGCAGCAGCGGCAACTTCGTCCACCATTTTCCTGTTCGATGGAGACCACGACAGCTTCCACCCCAGCTCTGACACTGCAACGAGGAAAAAAGCAAAGATCCATCAGAAGCTATGGCCACTAACAAAGATCACAGCTTTATCTACAATATCAGGACAGTCACAAACCGAAAAACTAAACAAAAGCTCCAGAGATCGCCCCGAGGAAACAACAAAAGAAGAACAACGTGGCAACTTACATGTCGACGAGCCTGGGCTGGTTGCCGGGGAATTGTCGCGAGTGACGGGAGTAGTAACGAGAAAAGGCGGACGAAATCCTGGTGCACGGATCATCTTCTCTTTGGCTGTAGCAAATGAACGCCGATCCATCAGACACGCTCTGGAAACAAAAGGATTGTTTTTGTTACCTCTTGCAGCATTGACGAGTTCTCTCTCGCGAAGCTTTCCAAGTCCTGTTTCCGGCTGTGGCCCGGCTACAACGTCGTCCCACAGCTTGTCCAAAAGGCCCATCCCAGACAAACGAAAAGAAAGAAAGGTAGGAGGAGAAAAAAAGAGAAAACGCGGGGCCACTCAGCGACTGTAGCTCCGAAAACAAATCACGACACTGCACAAACAGTACCAACTAGAAAACCACGCAACACACACACACACCGAGATCTCAAGACCAACCAGCAAAAACTCACTCGCTCGATCGAGAAGAAGTTGGGGATAGTCTATACAAGGGGGGAAGAAAAAATTCCTCTCTCTCTCACACACTGGTTTACTCACAAAAATTCTCCTTTCTGCTCTCGCTGCGCTGCTCTTGACAAGAAAGACTGATCGTTAGGAGGCCGACGAAGGGGGCTTGTGCCTGTGCTTCTTTCTCTCGAATCCAGCCATCCACGCAGCCTCGATTGCAACCCACATCGTGTCAAGCAAACCCACAAGCGCTGCTTCTCATCCCCTCGCCACTGCGCTGGGATGGCGCTCGCCCTCCCACACGCAAAGAGAAAAAGAAGGGGGAAAAACCACACGCACAGGCTCAAAGAAAGAGTGCTTGCTCGCTTCTTATCTTTTCTGCCAAAGAAAGAGGGGTAGCTGTGGTTCTTGCCTCGACCGGCTGTAGCCGGTTCTTCCGGTCAACGTCAGCAAGTACCTCCTCCTCCAGGGTAGACCTACATTTGTTGTCATCTGGCTGGTTACTTGCGCATTTTTCTTGAATGACGTGTCCATGTTATCCGATGAGTCAACAATCATAGGTCATTTTCATTTCCATTAAGCAGCGTTTACCGTTTCCAACAAGTTAATTTGCTTCATTTTTCTTCTGTTTTATAGTGTGTAATTCACTCATTCTTTTCATATACTGTTTGAAAGGTCCCATGACAAAGTCTTGCGCCGCCCCCAAAAAGCATGAGACTGACACATTCGTTTGAATCTGGTGCCTGATAGATAGACTCTATTTCTAGGGTTCTTGAGCTGTTTTTACAACTGCATTGGTTGCTAATTAATGATCTGATCAATGACTGCTAGCTCCCTGAAATTTAGATATGTAGCCCTAGAAGCCAAGCCTGGTTTGTTGAGCTAATGAGTAAATGTAAATAGAAAGTTTGCAAATAGTAAAATATACAAATGTACAGAAGATATGTCACGATGGGTGGATGATATCCCTTTGTGCATAAATGCCATATTTATTCATACTTTAAATTTTACTATAGTGATTCATCAAGTTTAGCATAACATGTTTTATAACATTAGATATGGAAGCTGGTTTGCTAATGATTGAGTTGATTGTGTAGCTTATGTGGTTTTCACCCTTTATTCTATAGTAATTTATCATAGGATAACGAAGAAACAGAACCTAAACCCTTTATATGCCATGTGTTACATGTCATATGCCACATGCCATATGTCAAATGATAGCAGAATAGAATTTAAGTTTCAGGGCTTTAGGCCATTGAATGAAGGAATAAATCTAAACTCTTAAACTTGTAGCCAAGAAATAAAAAAACCGAAGCATGGAGTGACTCTTGAACATTCAACCCAAAGAACGAAAGGATAGGAGCATGGAGCAATTTGGAATAGTCTTAGAGCTTTGGGCATGGCTTTCACCCTTAGTCACTTGGAGTTAGTTTATGGGACTAATTTGAAATTTACTAAATATGGAATGGTTTTAAATTGCAAATTTAGACATGGGACTAACACCATTGTGTTCAAAACAATTTCTACATTCTTTAGATATGCCAAATTAACAAATTTAAATACTTTCCATAAATAGCAATTGAGATCAAACGGAATTAACATAAGGTACATGATAATAAGAGTGTCACAATGGACACAGTAAATTATCATTTAGCAAATATTGAGGGACCAAACTCAATATTGCAGAGGTTCCCAACACTAGCAAGTGCAAGCCAATATATAAGTTTCTCATATCGGGCCGAGTATGCTCAACAAGAAACATATAAAAGTTTTTACTTTATGTTTATTTGGCATAAGTACATATATGATGACCAGTTTCTCAACTAACTTGAGTGGAGACTGAAAGGGTCTAGCAATATTGACTTCATGCCGTTATTGTCGCAAATGTGACTTCGGGTATCAAAAGTTACCTGTCAACTACTCCTTATGAACACTCTTACCTTACTGCCACAACGGCAGGAGGTTGGTATTGTTGGGCCCGTTATTAATCTCCGCCTAAGCTAGTTGAGAAATTGGTCATCACATGTGCACTTAGACTAAAAGGGCACTAAAGAAGGAAATCCTAAGTTGTCATTTAGTCAAGCAGACTTGACATGATAATGAGAAACTCATGATGTTGGTTTGCACTTGCTAGTGTTGGGAACCCCCGCGATATTGAGCTTGGTCCCTTAATATCGCTAAATGATAACTTACTGTGTCTGCCAAACACCCTCGCTATCATGCCCGGAATGTAGAGATCAGCCTGAACACGATGGTGTTTGTTCCGTGTCCAAATTCGCAATCTAAGGACATTCCATATTTAATAAGTTTCGAGCTTGTCCCAGAGACTAACTCCAGCTACAAAGGGAGGTTTGGGGTGAAAGCCCAAAATGTGTGTTCCTCAACGGGGGGGGGGGGCTGTGGGGGTTCCAAATGTATAGTAGGGATAGTGGGTAGGTCGAGCATGGCTGACCAACCTGAGGCATAGTCTAGCTCCCGCTTGCGTGCCTGTCCTTGTTCTGTGTTCGGCTTGGGTCTAAGCCCAAGTTCCATTCCATGCTAGTTGGTGGAGTACCCATATCTTCACGTTAGGCCACCGGTATGCCAAAATAGCACCAGACTCCGTTTGGCTCCGTTTTGTGTGCTGGTCTTGGCATTGGGATGCTAGTTACTCTAGGACTGTTCTAAGTCCCTTCGAGCTCCTATCCCTTCACTCCTTGGGCTTTATGCTCGAGAGTTGCTCTGTGGTTCGGTTCCATCACTCCTTGGCTCCATGCTTGGGAGTTTGGCACCGTTCTTTCGTTCAGTGGCCCAAAGCCCTGAACCTCGAGTTCTTATGGACACGTGGCATCTGTCACGTGGCACAAAGAGGGTTTAGATTCCGCTTCGTGGTGTTATCCTATGGTAAAATCACCATAAGATAAAGGGTCAAAACCACATGTGCTACATTTGGTATTAGAAGATGTCTCAGCGAGTACTATACAATGAGATTGGGCAACTAATCTCGTTGCATACGCAGAGATGAAAACGATGATCCGAGTGGGTATACGTTTGGGTGCAAAGGCTTTGCAATTGTTCCTTGGGTATGGATTTGGTTACCTTGTTGTACCGTAATAATGTGAGCTTGCTCTTGGGCTCATAAGATGGATTGAGTTAGTCCATTTGCACAAGTTTGAACTTGGACTCATGAGTGAGGCGTATTAGCAACTCAAGGTTATACTTTGAGTTGGCAGGATTAATGTTAGCCTATCGGTGGTTTCATGAGTTGTTCCAATTTGTTCCGTGAGTTGTTCCATATACTATAAGTTAAAGCAAACCTTCCCTGAGTTTGCTATGACTGGCAAATAGGCTGGTCCGTAGCTGTTTAGCACGGCACTAGTAGATCCTTCCTAGGCATGATTACAAGTGAATCAACTAAGACTATAGGGATTAGTTTATTGGTTCAAGTAATCATTGCTATGCTCTCTCATAAATTTTTCTTGGATTGGACTGAAGGCAGTGCGAACGCAAGCTTGAGGTGTAGTCAAAGATGAGACCGAAAAGAGAGTCGTTGGGGACGAAGGATCAAACACGTAAATCATCTTTTCTTCTTGGAGAGATGATTTGCAATGAGTTCACATTATGCAATCATGAGTCCCTACTTTGATACATGTTGGAAATGATGGTCTTGTAAGTGGTGAGTCGTGGGATGGATAGCGGTGAAGCGCTAAACCAATTTATCTAGACTTGCTATTAGAAGACTTGGGTTACAATGCTCAATTCTTTTCTGGGGAACTTTGCTATTGCTCCTTAAGTAGCTTGGTGTTGGGTTAAGTTTTGAGTTTGGTCGGATAGCAAATGGCATGAGCTTGTCCATGTTGTGAACACAAGTTAATGGTGTTGGGTGTTGTAAATCTCTATTGGTGGAGTGTGGCATTTATGTTGCATTTTGTCGAGTTGAGTTGGCACTTGATATTTCATGTAAACCTTTGAAGTAATGACAT